TTTAAAAAAAGAAAAAAACTAGCACTACTTTTTTCTTTGATATGCAATGGCTTGACAGTAGATGATTTTGCAAGACCTGTCAGCCACTGCAAATCTTGTGCAGATTCATCATTGCCAAGAGATTGAACCATGAGTATGTACACTGCAACAGGAGTCATTTTTGTCAAAGGGTGCACTAGATGATAACTGACTCCTGTTGTTCGTTGTTGTTACTGTCAGATTGGTGCTCATTTTCGCCTTGTCCCTTTTTGACCGGGCCCTTTTTTTTTTTTTTTTTTTGCAAATCTCAGTGCTCGACTTAACCGCGACGCAAAGGTAATTCCATTAATTTCTTCGTTTTATTCATCAAGAGAAGAAATCGAGTGCACTTGTTGCCAAAAGATATCAAAAGCTAAGCTAAGCTAGCTAGCACTCACGCTCATTACCCTCATGGTCATAGCTGAGCTAATTAATTACTACCTGAAACAGTGAAAAGGCCACACTAATCTATAGAGTATAGTATATTTATTTAATCAGTGCCCAAATTAAAGCGTATCACGCCTCTCGTGCAGCTTCGTGCGAGCTCTGACGGAAACAATATTCAGAGAAAATTATTCAGAGAGCATGTGCAAGAAGCCTCCTGTGTTTTTTCCCTCGTCTTTTCGTGCGTAATCGTGCTCTTTTCGTGAGGTTTTCTTTGAGAGATTATGTAGCAGATGGAGTATTAAAAGTGGCCGTTGATTTTGTGCATTGCCCGCGCGTCTGTGTCACGCTTGGTTGTCGTCGTAGTCGTCGCCGCTGTTCTGATCTGACTAGAGGTTAGATTCTGCAAAATCTACGGTTTCTGGCCCTTTCGAAAAACCCGTCATTTCCAAAGTTAAATGCCTCTGCCACACGACACACGACACCACCACCCTTCTTGAATCTCAGTATGCCCACTGTTTCAAACCTTTTTCCATCGTCATGGATTATTAACACATCTAAACCACGAGAAAAACATGTTATTATTATTATAAACTTCAATAGATTCCATAAAATATATAGTAGTCACCTAGCTAGAAGTAATAACAGTGTCATGCCTGATGCTGTCAGTGGTGATCGGGGGTTGAGAATCCTCTATCATATTATCACTATTGTTACAGTCACTAATACGTGGATTATATTATCTTAGTATTATTTTGCGTGAGTGTTGTTACCGTAGAGGATATGAACCCGTGATCAGGTATAGTAACTGTGCATCGATCGCTGTCATAAATACTACCACTGGGGTAGTTGAACGAACTCCTCTTGCTGCCTGCACTCCAACGTCTACTTCATCAACCGTCTTCTGCACTTCTGCCATGGCGATCCATCTGTTCGTACAGCAAATAAACTCGGCAATAATGTTACATGTCGGCCGGCCAGGGCATGGCAAGTTGGCTGACGGGGGTGAAAATGTTCCGGAACGAATTGATCAATTTTTACCAATTTAACAATTTTATAGCGATTGTACAGGTACGACACTGAAAGAAATTAAAAATACAAATTCTATATATGAAAAAAATTGAGAACGGTTCGACTTTTACCTACCGAAACGATGCTCGGTCCATCCGAAATTTCCGTGAACCGTTTTCAACCCTAAGCATCTATCACAAATTCAAATGACTGTATCTAGCTACTCCTATACTGAGCTACTAACCCCGTCCCAACTCATAAAATATAAAAACCTAATATTAAATGCTATGAATTTAGATAAAAAAAAGTTTATTAAGAATTTAGATAAACCTAATTTGATATGTTTTATTAGGTATTACTAGGTTTTTACATTTTGCGACGGATAGAGTACATACCGACACCGCCGTCTGGATTGGATTCCCGGGCTTTAGCATCGTTGATCAGCACAAAAACAGTCAGCCACGCACACGCTGCGGACGCGAGCTTTTGCCTGCAACAAACCTGCAAATGCACAGGAATCAGGGGGGAAGAAAAAGAAGAGAGAGAGAGAGAGAGAGAGAGAGAGAGAGAGAGAGAGAGAGAGAGAGAGAGAGAGAGAGGTAGAAATCAGAGCTTGAAAAGGAGAGAAAGAAAGGCGAGAGGAGTAGCAGTAGTAGGAGCATGAGCATATAGCCTCTTTCTTTTCAGCTTTATTCCAGTGTATGCAGCTGCTTCTTGTTCTTTCTTTGCATCCCCATCTCTCTTTTCTCTTTTCCCAGCTTCATCGCACGAACTAATGATGATCATATCGCATTAATTTACCCTACGGATCTCAAAGTATTTTTCTCAACTCACTAGGTTGAAGATTTTACAGCTTGTAATTAAGCCATTAGGGTATAACTCTAACATGAAATTAATGGAAGTATTCTTGATCCTTGATGGGTGATGAGGGAACTAACTGCTACTAATAACATGCAAGTGTGTCATCAAAAAGTACAGAGGCCGGTGAGGGAAGAGAGAAGCCAAAGCTGCAGCTGAGCAATGATAAGCCATGGAGTATATATGTATGGATCATGGTCATGGAGAAGGTGACCCTACATGAGTGGTGTTGGTCAAACCCCTCAACATGCTCCAATTTGCATCCACTTCTTGCTCATCATCTCTCACAAAAATGATACGATACTATCAACCACACCACCTCATGTGATATGAATATATGATTCTCCTGTTTTTCTCCAAACCATTGACATTTTGGAAGCTAATACTGCAAGAAAACAGTGGGTTTCCTGTTCCATGTGTCCCATTCTGAATTTTCTGAATTTCTGATAAGTACTACTCCAAGTTGGTTAATTAGGACTAATGAGACACTGTTGGGGGAGGAAATTCAGTAAGCATTTTGTGCAGGTACCAACCGTAGCTGCTGTACGGCCCAACCATTGCAAATACACATACGCAGATGCGCTCCATTTCTCTGAAGATTCCCTCGTAGAAACCCTGTCCATGTAGATACAAAATCTTCAGTTTGGTAGGCACAATTAATGTGCAGCTCCTGCAAAATCTAAACTACATGTTTGGTTGCTTCCGGTCGCATTTCATCAGATTTGTTTTGGGGAGAGGTTAATTTGCAGCTGCAAGAACTAGACAGACGGCAACCGGCACACACACTTCTCAAGAGATGCTGTCCCTTGGTAGCCATTGACCATTAGTGCAAACAAAATAGTAATTATCGGATGCTGATAGTATCAAAGATGTTAATTAATCTGTCCCTTTGGGGGCTCTTGACTCGAAGCTAGCAGTGATGAGCGCATCATGCATGGGAGAAAAGGAAGAAAAATTGAGCAGAGGCAGTGTCAAGTGTCAACTATAGACACAATGTACTACCGGTCAGTCTCAGCTTCTGCCCCAGTTGGAAATTTCAAGGGTTTGCCCCATGCAGGGACATCACCAACTTTTCTTTTGTTTTTTTCCTGTGAATAATGCAGCTGGGATTGCGATCAATTTGTGATCAAAATAATAGAGTTCAGCTTGCTTCTCCTGCACAATATCCACTAATAAATTCAGCCGGGCAAACTAACCTCTGAATTCAGCATGGGACCATGTACATGTAGTTGTACTACACATGAACACATCCGATTAGCCAAGAGCCCCCATATGATTCATGCACACACCTTGTCTTGCTAATTGGAACACGCTACAACTTAATAAAAACGGCGCCACCATCGTCGCACGATGCCCCCACGAAAACAAACTCCATCCAAAAAGCTCCATCAATGATAGAATCCAGTAATTCAAGATTCTTTCATCTTGGGTTATCTCGTTTAGTTTGTGTTTTCTTTATATCATGTCAGTGTGTGCTGAATTTCTTTATATATAGACTTTGTAATAATCACTGTAGCTCGTTGAGTAAAGGGCAAAATGTTATTTTATTATCTTAAAAATAATAGTAGCACGGCTAAGCGGCTCGAAAAAATATAGAAATAGGAAAAATACGGTATCCATCCCTGCTTTAGCGAGTCTTCGAGCATGAATATGAAAAACGTACGATTTAGAACACAGAGGACAGAAAAATACGTAGAAATTGACGATATCAGCATTCAAAGTGTATAAAAGCACACAGGAGAAGCAAGCATTGATCATGAGGCGATGCAAGATTTGCCATGTTTAAATTCAGTTGAGCTGCTGGCGAGTCGGCGACGAGTACTCTACTCCGAGCCACTCCGCGTGGTAGCTTAGATCGGATCTAGTGTTGGACCCCAGCCGTCGGATCAGGCCGGCCTTGACTACAACCAAACACCATCTACTACAATTATCCTCATATTATTAGTTAAATTAATTAATCCATGGATAATCACATACTACTCTCTTCAGCTTTGACTCCAACTCTGCACAAGAAGGCTCATCTTCAAGGCACCGTAGAAGTAAACCATCTACTTATTATTTATAGTTGTATTTTGTATAACCATCTATTTTGATCGTTCGAACGAACGACCAGGTAGGAAGTAGTTACAACGTATATATCTGTCCTTAGTATATACTACGTAATATACAAATATACGTGGTAATTATGTCGATAAAAAAGAGGACACCTCCATCTTGTATTCTTTCCATGACCTAGGAAACAAAATTAAATTAGAAATAAAAACAAAAGCTTGATGTCACTTTAGCGGTAGCCTAGATGGCTACCACCTGGCTACCACCACCTTCCGATCCTCTCTCCAAGTCCAACTACACAACCAGCCATGGAGAAAACTCCAACCTGTCTCAACCCTCGAGAAAGAAAATTTTAAATTTTAAATTAAAATTAAAAACGGCTGCAGCAGCATCAGCCTGCACGGCTTCCCATCCATGGCTGCCGCTAATCTAAAAATCTAATCAAGATTGGTTAATCACCCTCATTAAGAGTTAATGAACAGCATCAGCCCGAACTGCCTTTGTCCGTACCCTCCACACAGCAGCATAAATCCAAACCACAAGACGACAAAAAAATTAAGTTCTTTGATTTAGTTTTAAACCCCCTGTGTCTTTTAAAGGGGTTGGAATTATAATTATAATTATAATTTAATTTAATTTAGAGTTTAGTTTACTCGGAATGAGAAAAAAAAAAGGAATAATGCGAGTAAAAAGCATCCGTAGCATCTCTACCCTCTTCTTCCCTAGTGGAATACGTACATCTGACAAGACGACATCGATGGAAACGGTAAAAAAGAAAAAAAAAGAAAAAAAAAGCTTCCTCAATTTTTTCTCTCTGCCACTTGCCTTGGCTACACCCGGTCCAGCGTTAAACCGGTGGACCGATTGGTCTAAGGGAGTAGTTGGCGGCGGCGGCGAGTCACTGGGCCTCGCCGGCGGCGAGGAGCCACCGGTCCATGGGCACGCACTGCGCCTTGTGCGCGCGCTTCCAGTCCAGCGCCTGGCACGCGCGGGAGCAGTAGTTGGCCGCGCCGCAGACGGAGCACCGCCGGAACTCGTGGCGGCGGGTCTCCCTCCGGCCGCACCGCACGTGGGAGCAGAGGCGGAGCTCGCCGCCGCCGTCGCTGTCGCCGGTGGCGGCAGCGGGAGCCTCGAGGCCGGGTTTCTTGGCCGTCGCCTGCACGCCGCGGGACGCCCACCAGTCGGCCATGAAGAGGTTGGCCGGGTGGGGCTCCGCCTCCGGGAGGCTCCACCCGAAGTCGGAGAGGAGCGGGCAGCCGATGGCGCCGGCGGCGGCGCCGCCGGCGAGGGGGAGGGCGGCGAAGGGGCGGTGCGACGCCGCGGCGGCGAGCGCGAGCGTGAGCTCCCGCGCGTTGGCGGCGACGAGGAAGCGGCGGCCCTCGGCGGGGTCGCGGCGCACGCCGTAGCCGTCCTGGAGGCAGTGCCCGAGCTCGCGGAGCGCGTCGACGTGCCCCAGCGCGGCGGCGCGCGCGCACAGCGCCGCCCCGGCGCGGAGGTCGCGGTCCGACTTGGCGCCGCCGCTCCCGTTGAACTGGATAACCGCCAGCGAGTAGAGCGCCGCCGCGTGCCCGCCGACCGCCGCCCTCGCCAGCAGCGCCGCGCCGCCGCTCCGGTTGCCAAGACAGTAGAACCGAATCTGCAACCACAGCCACAAAACACCCATCAGCACCTCGATCGAACATCTCATCGGCACAGCTCAACCACACGTCTAATCTAGGGTTCTCGGCGCCGTACCATGCCGAGAATGTAGCAGGCCTCGAGGTTGCCGGCGTCGGCGCAGAGCTTGAGGAATCGCTGCACGGGCTCCGACCACGACGCCGCCTTGACGGCGAGCGACGCCGGCGAGGCCTTTGCGAAGACCATGTCATGGCGCCCCAGCCCATTCAGCCTCTTGCACCTGCAAGCCGTCGTCAAAAAGATAGGGAGACGAGACGCCTCGGTTAGTGGCCATCATCATTCATTCATTCATTCGCCTTATCCCCCATTCACCCCCCACAACTTCCCACAAATTGCAAATCGGTCCCTCTTTCCACAGCATTGAGAGGAGCGGAAGGACTCGTTTGTAATTCGAAGGAAGACGAAGGTGTTTTCCGGGCAAAGGCAAAATCGATCGAGACAAGGAGGCGGCGAGCGTACGTGAGGTGAACGGAGAGGAGGTCGGAAGGGGAGGAGGCGGAGGCGGCGAGCTTGGAGAGCACGGCGAGGACGAGGTCGTCGGGGAGCTCGTCGAGGTAATCCGGGCCACCACCGGCCAGCCTCTTCCGGCGGCCTCCTCCGCCGCAGCAGTCACCGGCGGTGGCGTACTGCGGCGGCAACGACGACCTCTTCCTCTTCTGCCCAACCATGGCCGTCTCCCCGCCGCCGCCGCCGCTGCGGTAGAGAGATCCACTCCTCGTCCTCATCTCAGTCCAAGCTCCCGCTGCTGCCGCCGACGCCGCCGCCGCCGCCGTCGGGCTGGTCTCCGGTGAGGCGTGCGCGGCGAGCGGTGGAGAGCGAGCGGAGCGCGGGTTTGGGTAATGGCTTTGTGTTAAAGAGATAGCTAAGCGGAGACTCTTTTATATAGGAGGTTGGGCGCGTAGTATAACCGATGCGGAGAGAGTCAGAGTGTGGGCCCACGATGTCAGTGACCCAGAATGGAATACTGTTCTTTTTTTTATATCGTGTTTTTATCTAGTCGGTTTTGTTATTGTCTTTCTCCTGGTCTCCTGCCGAATAATGCAAATAGTAAATATTCCATTCGTTTCAGTTTATAAGATGTTTTTAAATTTGATCAAAGTCAAACTGCTTTAACTTTAATTAAGTTTATAGTCAAATATAGTAATATTTACATCACAAAATCAATTTATTAAATTAATAATTAAATATATTTTTACAATAAATTTATCTCGGATTAAAAAAAATTTAAAAAAAACTTTGATTTTAACCAAAGTTAAAACATCGTATAACCTGAAATAGAGGGAGTAAGAGTAATAACCTAGTTTTGAGGGGGAAACACCGGGTGCTGGGCTTTTGAAAGGCAGCTTTTTTTTGGAAGAAAAAAAAATACTACTAGAAAATATAAGGACAGGTTCACTTTCGTATTGATCGTGTAGTACGGCTTTTACGTTGTTCAGTAACGATATTGTGGATGGATGGTAGTACTTGGTACATATCGCATCGTTATTGATTGTTCTAAACTGTACTAAAAGGTCGGAGGGAACTGTTAAACGGATATGGCGGTAAACCGACGTGGATTAGGCGATGTTAAACTGATTTTGGAGATGGAAAGGTTAGTGGTAATACTAGCTGTTTTTATGCAATGCGTTTATTTCCAAGTATAATTAACACTTCCAGCTACTGGGTAGTCTCAATATTGGTAGGACCAGAAATATATTTGCATAAATATCCAGGTCATATAAAAAATTGGCACCAGGCCTCACGTGACATAATTTTGGATGAAAATGGTTGACACTCGAATCTTTTGCGTGTTGGGAGTACAGATTTATTGTATATATAACAGAATGGCATAATGTTACATGAAGAAATATTCTTGTCCAGGCATATGTTAAAAAAATTGATAATTAACACTAGAATAGTTTGATTGTACCTAGCAACATATCTATTTGAGAGCAACTGTATCACAATTTATAGTTAACACAAACATACCAGTGATGTTTTATTGTGTATTCCAACAAAAAAAAATCTCCGGATATATAGGGGGTTCCTTCACCACCTCTCTACCTTTATATAGGAGCAGTAGCTTCAGCTTCAATTTTACATTTTTTTTTCTTCACCCCCGCATTCATTTTCCTTGTAACCCAGCAGTGGTCGGTTCTGTCATGTTGCTTTGTGTAACTAAACCTTTTTTTTTCTAATATATTGACGTGTGATCTTTTTGCATGTTCGCGAAAAAAAGCGTTTAAGACAGATTTAAGTGAACTGTTAAAAATTCTGACAAAAGATATCTAATAAAAAGGGCTAAAGGGGGTATTGGAGTTTTATGGGACACAATTCTTATTTCAGTGGGGAGCTTCTAATTCTGGAAGAAGTTGCAGCAGCTAGAAGCTCCCCAAACAGGCCCTAAGATTTTGATAAAGCGGCTAGTGAGTAGCTAGATGGTGAAAATATGAAAAAAGATGGGATTATTAGCTTTTGGCTTCTAATTTATTTTTTAAATTCTTAATAACGTATTCTTAGAATCCGATAATAATCTGGACTGTTTAGAAAGCTAGAGAAGTTGTAATTGACAAAAGCTCCCCTCGACAGAGCTTACATCAGGTAATCAAAGAAGCAATAAGTCTGATTACAATTTACAAATATGAAGATATGAGGAACTAGGTGGTTAATTAGAGCAGGGAACTACGAGGCTGGCTGGTTATTTCTCTAAGCAACATAAAGACAAATAGACCGTATTTGTGAATTTGGCAAAATTTGGTGCAAGTTGAATTTGTTACGACCTTGGAGTAGTCAATGAATCCAAGAAAAATACTTGAAGTGGTTTGACTCAAGTTCATCGTCCAACCTGATCAACAAACAAACAAACGATGCACCCATGATGTGTGGGCATGTGTTTGTCTACCTACCTTGGGGCCGATCGATCTTAATTAGCTACATTAGTCACTCCCTCTGAAACCATACCCGATCGAACGATGATATATAGTCTTTGAGATGAAGAAATCGCCTTGAACGTGAACAAGTCTCCAGTTTCTGGTGACGCGCGGCACGTGATAGTAAGCGCGCAAGTCGTAGATTCGGCGCTCGACTCCCACCCGTACGTACCCCACATGCACCACCAACCCAACCCAGCGGCGGCGACGACGACAAGCGAAAGAAAAACTTAGCGGCGAGGCAGGTCAGCCGCTGCCGCATCCACCACGACGCGCCTACGACGCATAGCGCGGCGCATTGGGTGAACTCACCTCCACCTCGGCCGGCGGTTGATAGATGATGCGGGGCGGCGTTGGCGTTGGCGGTGGCGTTGGTGTTGGCGTTGGGAGAGTGGTTGCCGCCTGGTTTGTGGTTGGGTTTGGGGTTCGCGGTCGCGGTCTCTCGCGTACGTCGCGCCTCTCGCGGCTCGCGGCGTGCGCGGGTGGGGGAGAACGATTGATCGATACGACTGATTTCCATGTGTCGCGCCTCGGGTTCTTCTCACCCCGTTTGCGTGCGGGGATTCTGACCGCGCCTTCTTTATTCCGTCCGCCCGACTGACTCGCCGGCTCGCCCCATATTTATTTTTCGCAGCTCGCATTCATTCGATTTATTACTACTACTGGATGGGCGCCACGGCCTGCACTGCCATGCTATGGAGCAGTAGTGTCCCGGCGAAAGGAGATCGAATTGATTCCGATGCGCTGCACTGCACTGCACGACGAGGCCGAGTTACTGTTACTATGCCCCGGCTGACCAGATGACCTCCTCTCTCTCTCTCTCGTTACTCTTTTCTCTGTCTGTAGACGACTAATCAAGCATGGACCATGTACGTACTACTACTGCACTCGTACTCCCTCTATCCACAAAAGTTAGATATATTTCACATTTGAGTTGTTCCAAATAAGTTGTTCTTATTTATAGTCTTTATGCATTCAAGACTTACATGAAGAGATAAATTAAATGTTTGATTACAACTCAAGGAGTCATCTAAATATTTTATTGGTTGCATGTTTGTATTCACTTCTTGATTTTTGTAACAGAAGATGATTTAATTTCTCCTTGATCTTGGTGACACAAGTAATATGTGTAACTTTTGTAGATGGATGGAGTAGTATTTTCCAAAGCTGTTTTTCTTTCTCTGTCTATCGAAAAAATGTCTGCGGAAAAAAAAACTGCACAAAACTACAGCAATAACTGCGAGTTGCTATCACATGCCCAATTGCAGGCCAAGGAACAAAACAAAAAACCATTGCTGTTCCTGTTCCCCTCGCACCATCCGCACGTACGCACACGCATACGCAAAAAAACGCACGTACGCGGCCGATGTGGAACGGAGAAGCGAGTGACCACCGTGGGAAAGAAAAAAAAAGGAGCGGCCGTGGCGGCCAAAACGTGGAGCCCAACCCGTCCATCGTGCTCGTGTGTGGATCGCGCGACGGATTACGGAGAAAATTGTCGATAAGCCGCGGCCGCGCGCCTCATCGCGTCGCGTGGGCGAAAAAAAAAAACCCAATCTGCAACGAGATCTCGCCCGCCAATCGACTCCGCCGCGGGGGCGCGCCATCTCGGCCTCTCGTCTCTCATCTCCTCCAACGACCGACGACTCGACTCCTCTCGCTTTGCCTGGCCGAGCCGGGGGCCCGTGTGTAGGGCACACACGCAGCACCACTTGTCAACCCTTTTCCCACATGTCCATCCTGCGAAAATCCACGTGTCGTTTGTAATAAACTTTAAAAGCTGATAGTGAAAAATAGACTGCGATAAAAAAACCTTTAAAATTAATGCTCGAACTAAATTAAGTTTTGAATTTTAAGTTTTAGTTGTCGCCAATAATAAGCTAATAAGCAGACGATGAAATTATGTTACCGGTGTCAAACCGGTATACGTTACACGTCCATCTATATCTGAATTGTACCTTTTCACGTAAAATCACATACAGTATAAGAGCAAGTTTAATAGTGTAGCCCACTACTAACTTCAAATCATTTATAGGCAATTCATACAATAGCTGCTTATTATAATATTAATATCTGGTCCCACATATCATACACACATTACGTCTTGTGAGTCCGTGCTACAACTAGCTACAGTTATGTAGCCCGCTGCTCTTCTCTCTCTTCTTTTATCTTTTTAAAATATATTTATAGCTAGCGTATAGCCTGCTATTGTACTTGCTCTAACTGCATAAGCATCGATTGATCTGTCACAGATCTGGGGTACGAAAAACGACGACGATATGTATGTTTTTATTCATCATTTTGGCCGGTTGGCACGCGGGCAGGCATCAGTCAGTCCGCTGTTCATCAGCTGGGGTCTCCTCCTCCTCCATTCTCCTCCATCCCTTGCACCAATCAAGCTAGAATCCAGCCCTATCCATCCAAGAACCACAAGACGGTCTCTTTTCTGCAACAAAGAAAAGTGCTCAAAAATTGCTGGTGTTGCAAGCTCGCAACGCGCGCGATCGACGTCGTACGCCACTAGCGAAGAATCGATCGATCGGCCATAGGGAGGAGGTTTGTGAATTGTGATCGATGCCGTGATGGTTTGCACTGCACTGCACTGGGTCGCGACCTACTTACTGCTGCTAAGTGCTAAGCACTAGGCAGTTGTGTGCATGTTAGGCCTCTTTTGCATCGGTTCGATCTTCTTTGCCCTAGTGGATGGAGCATTTGTGTGACCTGTTGCCCACTGAGAGGAGGGAAGCTTTTCTAGCTGCTGACTTGTAACCAATCCTGCACAACAGTAGTATATCCTCTCTCTCCCTCTTCGGTTTTTAATGTATGATATTGTTAACTTTAAAGATACGTTTTGATTGTTTGCTTTATTTAAAGATGTTGTACAAATATATAAAAATATAACTCATGCTTAAAGTACATACAATAAAAAAAATAAATCACAACAAAATAAATAATAATTACGTAATCTTTTAATAAGACAAATTATCAAACATAAGTTCGATAGTCAATAACATCATACATTAAAATGCAACGGTACATTGCAACACTGACATGCAAGATGCAGGGCAGTGTTTCTTTGAGGGGAAGAAATTGTAAAGTGTCATCAACTATTTCAAATGTTACAACAAGAAAAGTGTGATTCTTATACCATGCTTACATCAAAGAAAACTACACTCTGCTTCAGCCTTCAGGCAGGAGAAGATAAGATCTCAGGACTGATTCACTTCTCTGATTTTTTTTGTGTGTGTTTTGTTTTTTGGGGAAAGAAGATTCTACCTCAAGGTTTGAATATGCAGTTAATCTCAATGAGATAGGGTGAAACAAAAGCATTGCCCATCCACTGATTGCTACCCGACCAAATGTAGTGATAATGTATTTGAAAATGAGAAGACCGTTTAAAAAGCTTAACAACACGTTTCCCAGGGTCAAGAAAATTAAAGAACTTGCCAGAGTCAAAAAAGGAAAAAGGATCCTAGAGTTTTAAAACTACCTAGTGATGTTTACTGTTCATGTAGTACAAAAAGCAAACTTATGTGCCAGAGTGTGAAATGTTCTACTAGCTTGCTTGCAAAGAAAAGTGAAAAGAGTTGCAAATTTAATTGCTCATGATATGGTGCCAGATGAACAAAACAAGCTAGGTCGGTGCATGATCCTGATTAATTGGTTGCACCGACTTAGTACTCCAAATCCTCTCTGCTCCTGCCAAACACCAAAAGTAAATTTCACAGTACAGCTTCAGAACAGTGGTACCATCAAATAAAATCTTTGTTTTTGTGGAGAGCAAAATAAAGAAAGTAATTTAACACACACACATGCTTGCTGCCTTCAGTACTACTGCAAATTTTAATTCCAGCCACAAATCTGCAGATGATACTACGTTATCAGGAACTAATTGGCCCACATAAACCCTCAGGTTATCCAATCTTCTCTGGTTAAGCTACCTTGCAAAATGAGTGGTGTTCAGAGCTGCATCACCCAACAGATGAAGAAACTTCATTTTCATTGGGTGTGCCCCATTACCACTAATCAAATAAGATCAAACATGCGAATGGCACATCTCAAACTAACAAACTAATGTCATTTAATTAAGAAGACTTCTTTTCTTTTTCCATGTATGTAGTAGTATTTAATTAGAGGACTATGAGTGCAAGCAAAACTGTTCAAGTGTAGCCAGACATGATGACGGCAGTGTCATCTCTCCAAACATAAAAAGAATTGCCGTCCAAACAACTGCTACCATCTACTACAAAACGCACGGCCGTTGGTTCGTGCAGGAGTGATCTGTTATTTTTTTTTCGTTTGACCAACAGTAACTACGTAGTACTAACTGGTCCATGATTGTTATTAAGGCTAATACTAACTAATGATGTCTACATCACGGCTGTTCCATCCATGTCGCATTACAAACTTAATTTTGAATGAATTGCGCGCTGATCTGAATTCGATGTGAAGCGACATCTGAATCATACCGCGGTTTGTTCGCCTGGTTTTCACTGTCAACTCCTGAGTTTTCAGACATACATTAACAAAGCTTCAGACAGAATTTTTCAAGTCTTCAGACAGAATTGTTCCAAGTCTTAGTTGTGACAAAGAAAAGGTTCAATCTTACATATACTCTCCATCATGCGGCTTTCTTTATGCTTCAACTTAGATAGCATAATAATACCCAGTTTCATTCGGCAGATCTGAAGAAACCAGCAACAACCTTACCAATTGCATCTATAGTGAGAAAAAGTTTGAGATGAAGTGCATACGTTTCCTTGTATAATTCCAGTTCAGAAGATATTACCATGGACTAGGAGTTAAGACAATATCATGCTTCTTCTGTAATTCTGAACTTACCAGTGGCTTTGAAAATCAGAGGGTCGATAAAAGTTGATACGTTTCTTTACCTGAACAGTTTGGCACTTCAGTTTCAGGCCTAGAGTGGTACCTGTCACTGTTCCTGTGCAATGTTTTTAGCCACGGTTTTATGGGAGATTTTAGGGTTTGGTCGCCTAAGACGTTACTGTCGGAAAGATATACACAGGCTATGCACATTCACATCTCTCCGTGTCTAATGCTGTCAAGATTCTAGGTGTAGTGCTGGGCACATTTTCTTCTCAATGGAATCGGAGCATGACAGAGAAAAGCAACCTTTTTTCGTCTCTCTTTTATCTCCTCTTGGATCAGTCATTCTCACCGAAAAACGGCAGCTGAAATTTGAGCTGTAAAGTTCAAAAATGCAGTTAGCAGACGAATTGAACCCGTCACCAAGAGAATGAATTTATTCCAGTCAAGATGTTCTGTTTCTTTTTTCCAACTTCCTATGGCAAATAAGAACAGCTTCAGTTGTTAATAAAAATTACTATTCTTTTCATAAAAAAATGGGGTTTGGTTGCCAATCCATTAGTCAAATAAATTAGAAGAGCTCACGAGTTCGTGGATCCGAGTGCTTATGACATTAAAATCATGCCTTCTCAGGTCCATTTTGTTAAATTGTTTAGAGACCTCCAAAAATGTAGTATTGCAAATCAACTTGCAGTAGACAAATGGTGACATACATATCTTCAAAAAATTGAGTTATATAGGGGAAATACCTCTAGGTGGGGTGGGGTGGTGGAGAGGAGACACCAGGTTCAACAGTTCAAATCATATTGTCCACAATAGGCCTAATTAAAAAATCACTTCATTTGTCAAATAAAAGGGAAATGATGGAAAATTTATGATTATTACGGAGTAGATTGAGTAGATATGATTAGAGTGATATTACAACCATATACGAATAAAATTGCGTTTTTCAGAATAAAACCTTTCTGAGATAACTTGCAGTAGTGGAGACAGTGGACATGCTGAAAAATGTTCCTTTCATGTCCTGCCGAAAAAGCCTAAAAACCGTGCCAACCTTGGGTTTGTTAGAGGGGGCCACAAACGAAAAAGCAAGAGGTTGCATATATAGGAGCAACCTAACACAATCTACAAATGCCAAAATCTTCAAACTAAACCTAATTACGATCCAAATTAGGTTTTGGCCGGTCATTATAGCTAGCCGAGGTTAGGAAGATGCATACCTAAAACAAGTGTCTGATAGGGAAGAACCAACCTAACATACAATATACCACTAGTTGCAGGTTTCATGCAAAATTATTACAAATCAAGTAGAGACCCCAATCCCTCCCAAAAACTTAGGAGACAAGCCATTTCTGCTGTTAAATTCAGAAAGATACCTTCAGATATTCAGATGTAGAAGAAAAGAAAAAAAATGTAGACCAAGTTATGTAGGATACTTGCAAAGATGGTTAATGTGGGGTTCATGTTACAATGGCTTTGAGAGTGAGAGCTCATGGTAGTGAGCAATTTGGAGGCGCCGGCATAGTGTCACTGTGCTTTATAAATCAATTGCCATGGTGATCAGGCAGGACATCTAATCAGATTAGACGTGACGTCCATATGGTAGGAAAGGGAGAGGAGGAAGTTTAATTATTGGGCGACAAGAGGATGTCTTTGAGCTTAATTAGTATAATTAAGGTATACTTCATAAGAGATGCATCGTCAATACGATCACTGGATGTGTTATTGTCCCTAGTGCAGCAGCTGTAATCCTCTTGAAGCCGCAACCCTAGATTATAATGCATCTTGTTGATCAGTTAGCAACAGGTTGTGATTACTAAACTAATTGTAATTTGAAAGGTTTCAAAGGCTCCAAAAAGGCATCTTTTAATGGGGGAGAGGAATTTGAAGGATCTATTTTGTTCTGGCATTAAGCAACGAGTAGTAGTTTAGTGGTTGCACGAGTTAGCTGGATCAACTGTGCAAGTGTGCATAGATTAATCAGATCGATCTGGCACTTTTGCAGTTTTGCTCCATGCATGCTGATTCATTCACATGTCACATGTAGATACAAATGAATAGTACTCTATAGCAGATACAAAATGAATAGTTAGTCTATTGCAGATGCAGCTGGTGCTTCAAGAAAGAATCTAAAGATAGGAGAAGAACAGAATTAACTACTAGTAATGCTATTGCTTTGCTTATGGCTTACCTAATTCTCATTACTGGTTCAGAAACTGTGGGAAAGGCCAACAGAAATGCCTCTGCATCTGCTCCACCATGCTTATACTTATCTTCCTGCAGTGGCATGTACTTCTGTTAGTATTAACTATTACCGATTACTAACCACTGCATTCAGAATGGTCTCAAGCTTATACTAATTAGTATTCAGTATAACAGGTCAGTTCTAACAGTTACTGCAGCTTATAATATACGGAGTACATGGACAAGATGATGGACGAGGATGCCTTTTTGTACTTGGACCATGCCAAATGACTTGTCAAGATAATGCCAGCAAATCAGAGTACAACAATGATATGCTACAAAAATGCAAGAAATATGGGTTAACACAACTGAGAAGACACAATCGCTGTTGCTGTCAGGATCATAACTCACTGACGAAGGGTAGTACAAAGTTGCCGTTCCAGTACAAATATGATCAACGACTCAAAAAGAGATGGATGCAAACTATAATATAATGTTCAGGCACTTGATATATATTAAAACCTAATCATGATAAGGACTAGCTTACAGACACAAGCAACTAAACCTACAATTTAGAAGTATAAATCACCTGGAGGTAAGATCATAACTTCTGACTAATACTTACGATGTGCTGACACCACCTCAGCTCCTTAAAGTCATTCATGTAAACTAGTCGTCCAAGTTCCAATTTTCAACTTCTGTAAAAATTAGTTCCAGGTAAGAGCACAAGTCATGTTAAACAGTTAAAACATAGCTCCAAATTCCAAAAATATGAAAGCAGCAGTCACGCTGAATGTACCACTACAATTTGTAGTATGATTAGAAACATTCAAGGACATGTACGTCTCTTGTCTAACAGAAAATTCGAACAAGTCGCATACGTACGACGCAGATATATAAACCAAACCTACTCCAAAAATTTTGGACAAATAAATTCTGACAGCAACAGATACACCATCACCAGCTACTCTGATGCATGTATATGTACTCATAGCAGTATAGGCTTATATCATGGCTAGACCGAAAAGATAACAATCTTTAACTTCTTAACATCGCATTAGGACAAATGACTGAAGCTTAATTAGCATGCGATGCATGTACTAGTGCCCATTAAATCGGTTGAGGAGAAACGCCATCAGCAACACCTACTTCATGGAAGAAAGAAGCTAAACTCACTTTTCTCTGCATCACCGGGGTTAACTGTGTTCTGCATGTCACCTGATGTGGATGCATGCACATCTGACGGTGAGGCGACGCCGCAGAGCAGCGAACACCGGCACCGCCAATGCTGTCACGTCCCCTGTAAAATAATGAAGCGGATGGATGCATCAGGGGAAGACGTGACGACCATGATTAGACGAGTAAGAGCCCCTTTGTTAATAGCAGTTGCTGCAGTTGAGTTGATCTTAATTGCGTGTTTCAGCTGCAACACAAGAGATGCACACTGTCAGCCACAAAATGGTGCTGGATCAAAATGAGCTGGATTAAGGAGAGGAATTACGACAAGAAACTCAAGAAAAAGTTTTTGTCTGATAAAGAACGGAGATGCATGATCATGCTTAGGTTTATTTCATTATCCAAGAAAAAGTTCAGGCTTAGGTTGTCTAGATTTATGGAGAAGCACGAACAAGAAGATGCTTGGCAGAAGGAATAAGCAAGAGGATTTGCAATGAAGTCAAATGCACGCGCTGTTGAGGATACCCAGCACTCGAGAACTCAGGAACTCTCGAAAAGAAAAACTGTCAGCTGGTGTGATTTGAGTGGAAGGACCTTTTGACCAGCAAGCAAATGGATGTTTCAAAAAGTTTCAGGATCAGAGCCTGACATTGTCGAGAAACTGAGCTGTAAAACTGTAGCCAATACTGTATGCACGACCATATGATTGTTCATGAACAATGCCCTGAAATGTTAAAGAACAGTAATATGATTTTAATGCTTCTGGCAAGGCAAAGAGAGAGACATGTTTAAATGGAGATGGATAAGCTGAAAATTGAGTTATTGTGCATAATTTCATTCTCCTCGGAGGTCAAAAAGGAAGATGAGTACTCCAAGCTGAAAACTATGATGAGAACTGCTTCAGCTCAGGCTTTTCTCCTGAAAGAATAAAAAGAAAGGGAGGAACAACTCATGATAACAGACATGTCAGCGAGTACTGATAACATTTTTCAGAAATGCAGAGGAGAGTTATTCCTACTGCGGATAAATGATTATGCAACTTTTCTCCCCTGACATTTGTACGTGCCTGGAAGGGGACTAAGCACTGACACAGTGATATGCTCACATGAACAACTCGTAAGAACCAAGCTATTGAAATCCATGCTCCTGAATTGCGTTGATAAAAGATCAGCTTACATCAACCTCAGGAGCTGTCAGATTTGGAGTTGTCAACACACAAGGAGATGGCAAATGGCGCCTGAAGCATGCAGTTAGTACACAGTTAACAGTCCTGATAAGTTAATTAACAAGGGAACAGCAACTGCTGTAGGACCAAGCAATCTACTGTTGCAGAAATCTGTCATCTATTAACTAACCTCGTTTTCGGTCGGTGATGTCAAAAGCGCACTATTAATCTAGAAATGGCTAATCACTTTTTTGTACGAACTGGGATTAGGTTCCAGACAATGCACCTATCTTAAGGCTTCACAAATCACCAATGCAAAAGAAACATATTGGGAAAACCAAATACATTTGAACCAATGTTATGACCAGTCTTGACAAAGCTCTGACATCAGGAAGGGTTGTTAAATTTGACTATATAACCAACACTTTGGTAGAAATATATATTTCAATTAGTACAACAGGTTGTCCATATCATAGTATAATTGATCAATATAAAAGCCATTTAGTCACACAAGTGAGAGAATAACCAGCTAAGTTTCTCAGTTTTTTCAGGTCCATTTGTCAGCTGTCTACTAGTAATTGCAAATATGCTCATGTTGAACAAACATGGAAAAGGAGGGCACGCTACCTATGTGGCCATGTATAGACCCCAGACCTAACACAACACCCACTCTTTAATCTTAGTACATCCTATACTACTTCCTACCATGCTTGAACCCTCTACCATCCGAATCCAATGCTTCATCTCGTTTCAAAGTGCCTTGATTCTTCAAACAGTGTTAGTTTAATATTTTAATCAGAGTTAGCTCATACTAATGTACATATCAAATCTCATTGCCTGAAACGTACCATTTCAGGTGGGAGGCCCCAGTAGCATAAGCAAAAATTCAGCTATCAACCTGATGGCGACTGTTAGAAGCAGAGGCATAATGCAAATGCATAGTATCTCTGAAAGAGCGAAAGACTAACTTGCAGAAATGGTTAGCATAATAAGAACAAAAAAAACCTCCTAAGAAAACAATACTCCAAGAACTCCTAGAAAGAGAGCGATGAGATTACTAGAAGCTCTTACGACATGATGACTGTACAGAACATGCGCATGCTCAACTCCTCTGCAGTTTTCAGACAGCAAAATTGTTTTTCTAGTGCTAGTCAACAGCAGCAGTGCAGCGAAGTGGAGGCTTTTTTGGCAGGCACCGCCATGGTGTCACGTCCTCGTAAAATAAACCAAAATCAAGGACGTGACCTGCATGATTAGGACGCAGCAATCCGGGACTGTTACCAGCTGGGGTTAGCGTGAGAGAACAGGAAAGAACCCAAAACAAAAGCCAGCATTAACCCGGCAATTAGCCTGACATGTTCCAGTGATTCTTTGATGCATTCTTCTTCTGCAGCTCATTCATTCTCCGGGTACCGTTAGTTTTGTATGGGGCCGTGTGCAGTTTGCTTGTGGACTTGGGAAAGCATATAAATCATTGAACCTCTTAAATTAATCAGAGAGGCGCCAAGAGGGATTTTGGGGGCAAAATATCTGTTGAATTTGCATTTGGTGTATTGCATTATACTATGGCTCAATCGAAACTGAAGACCTACTGAATAAAATATGGCATAATTTATCGAGCGACTTTTTTTCGCGTCAATGCTGATAAATTAATAGCAGCACACAAAATCATTGGAAGTTGTGGATCACACGAAATTCAAACCTTTTTGAAAGACAAAAAAGGCAGCAATCTGCACTGGTATTTTCCTAGGTTAATGATTCTTATTGCATCGGTATTCTATTAACAGATGCCAAATTTCGATCAATCAATTCAACTATTCTAGAGCCATGGACCGCAGAAACCGATCAAAAAAAATGGATGCATTCGATGTGGATGGGTAAAAAGAAGAGGATCTATAACAAAACCGACCGTTCGGTACAAAAGTAGATCTGCTGACCCATGTAGGACAATCAACTTCTCATTGCTCTCATACACAAAATCTTACCCCCCAAAAAAAAGTTGGTAATGAGACTTTTCTTGTAAAAATAAGGTTATAAAAGACTATCAGTTCGATTACCTTCTGCAAGTGGAATGCAATTGCAATGGTGTAGAAAATATTTGAAATGACAATGTACCTACGTCACAAAAGTTCCCGTATCGATGGGACAAGGAACGAGATCGAGGAACGCGGGACGCTACATTTTTTATGTTTTAACGTGGGGTGGGGGAACGAGATTGTTCCCACGTTCTCGAAACGGGAACGGCGTTCCTAGGACCAAGGAACGTGGCATAGTTCCATGTTCCGGTGACTTGGTGATGAACTATACTAAGGCGGTGTTTAGATTTAGGGGTAAAATTTTTTGCCGTGTCACATCGGATATATGGACACATATTTGAAGTATTAAACGTATTCTAATAACAAAATAAATTACAGAATCCGTCTGTAAATTGCGAGACGAATTTATTAAGCCTAATTAATCCATCATTAGTAAATGTTTACTGTAGCATCACATTATCAAATCATGGAGCAATTAGACTTAAAAGTTTCGTATCTCAAATTAGTTGTGATCTGTGTAATTAGTTATTTTTGTAGCCTATATTTAATACTTCATGTATGTGTTCAAATGTTCGATGTGATAGGGAGAAAAAACTTAATAGGGATCTAAACATGCCCTAAACATGCAAGCAGCTAAGAGAGAGAGACAAGGATGTATAGGAGCAGTACCAGATGAGCAGGCCTTGCTGCCCAGAGCCCAAGGAAGGCTCGCCGTGTCATGGGCCTTCGTGCAGCGAGCGATCCATGGTGATCTCAATGATCTGAGGCAACTGCAAATTCAATCAGAAAAAGTGGAGATCTCAGGCTCAGGGTTTACGATTCCAACGAAAATCGGTTGAATTCCGTGAAATTTTGATGTTTCGACGGGGCTCGAAAGTAGAAGTTGTCTAAGATTTCGATGAGTTTCATCCAAATTCAAATTTGAATTGATAAAAAAAGGAAAAAAACAAATAAAATCTTATAAATAGTATGATATTCATAGAATCTATTGGGATATAAATTTTCAAAAAAATTGATGTATTCCGTGTATTTACTGAAATTTGAAGTAGGAAAGAAAAGAATAACGAATTAAAAAAAGGAAAACAATTTCAGTTTATCTCTTTTTCTAGTTACTGATTGAAATTTCGATGATTTCGCTCAGAATTTCGTCAAAGCCGGCCGATTTTCGCGAGCTTATTGGTAAACTCAAGGAATTTGTATTTAAATTTTGGTTTATGAAATTTGTTCGGAATCTACTGGCTTTCCACCGGATTTCGCGAAAACTGTCATTCTGCCAGAGAGCCTGAAACGGAAGGCCATCTCGGAATCGTAAACCCTGTCAGGCTCAGCTGCTCCTCCTGGGTGTACGCCTAATTGCAGATAGGAGATGTTCCTGCGAATTCAGAAAGTTCAGAATTATTTTCGAGGCATCGCGTGATCACTGCAGAGTAGGATAGCACTTAGCCGAGTGAATATCCGGTGCAATTTTTTAAAAAATAAATCAGAGAAGTGATCAGAGAATACACACGAATTGCACATCGCGGAATGGAATCAACATGGTGGATGTGGTGCCTTCCGATTTTCCACCATCTGAAGAACAGAAGACCTAACCGCCAAGCGAAGCGAGGGGACGGAAACGAGATCGCCTCGGATGCCTTGAGGAGTAAGGTTCTCGTGGATCGACTCGCCGGCGTGGACGATCGCCGGGCGGAAGTTCTCCGTCGCGAATCGATGCGGCGGCGGCGCCCATGGCCATGGCCGGCGGTTTGTTTCGGATTCCGTGGTGAAAATGGTATATCCATACAAGTAAAGGGCTCTATTTGTAAAATGGAAAAGAGAAGATTGATAAGATATGTAAAACGAGGTGAGCTATTAGCGCATAATTAATTAAGTATGAACTATTTTAAACTTTAAAAATGAATTAATATGATTTTTTAAAGCAACTTTCGTATATAAATTTTTTATAAAAAAAACACATCGTTTAGTAATTCGGAAAGCGTGTACGTGGAAAACGAAACAAACTCTCTCAAAATCCCTTGCTGCCGAACATGCATTGCAGCTGATGATGAGGAAGAAACCCCCTTCTTTTTCTTCCACATACGAAATCTCCAGCAGCTTTCATGGCTCTCACATCGTACTAATAATTCTCTTGTGCACAAAGAAATATATCATCAATCCGTTCCATATTAATTTTCTACATTACTTCAACTTTGTGCTTAAGTCATCTTGTACAACAGCCTGACAAATGCTGTATCCATTTCACTCTCTGTGTACTCCTTGAGTCCTTCCATTGAGGATAAATTCAGAAAGCTTCATCACCTCGTGCAGTGCAGTGGTACTACACATCTGAGCTCACTTCACTCCCACTTCACATTGATCATCTGAGCTCAATCCACAAGCCAATGGCTTGGAGACTTGCAAGCAAACTCATCAAGTTGCTATCTGCTTGCTGGTATAAATATATATATATATATATATATAAACTGATGAACAATGCATCCCACAGGACAGGGAGCCACACTTCCATAGTTCAATGTGATCTTGTTCAAGGTTCAGGCAATGGCGACCGGGTTATGCGATGCAGGTGCAGCCAAGCCGCGACGATATGACCTCACCATGTCCCGGAGGACGAGAAGGCCTGCAACGGCAAGTGTGGTTACTATTACTGATTGCAACCAAGACCAAGGCATGGAGACCCAGTCTCAGATGATCCTGATGATACAAGAGCAGCAGCAGCAAGATCAAGTTACTGAGCTGAAGGATCTGTTCCAGTGTCCATGTGCTACAACACAGCCTGAAGCTGAAGACACTACGGAGCAGGAGGCATTGCAGCAGCCTGAAGATGCCCAGGAGCAGCAGAAACCCAGGCAAAGCCTAGGAGAAGAGGAGGCACAGCATGAGCAGCAGCAAGAATGTCTGCAGTGTGAAGACAACTCGCGGCGTCTCTCGCTGCAGGAGCTGATAGACGTCGAGCCCATCAATGGCGCCAAGGATGCCGCCACTGGAAGCCAAGAGGTGAGCTCTGCTGCTGCAGAAGCTGCTGCTGCTGGTGCTGCTGTTCAGGGAGTTGCAGAAGCAGCAGCTGCAGAGAAGCAGCCTGAACATGTGACCGGGAAGAAGAAGATGATCGGAATGATGCGAAGGTACGTGAGAGTTCGCTCCATCAAGCACAAGCCTGCACCGGAGAGGAATGTTGCACCTCCTATATGCTGATGAGGTAGAAAGAACAATGGATGAACTGACAGTTGGGGATAAATTAAGCAAGATTTTAAACTAAACCGAGTTTTTCGTTGGTTTAACCTGTGCAAATTCTGTGTCTATATTGTTTTTACTGTTGGTTTGCACTGTTAAGTTGTTGGTGTATGTGTCTCTCCCAAAAAATAAGCATGTAAATGTTGACTTGTAACACTTAGGACTGTACAATGCTGTCAAACACGCTCAAGAAATAAACTGGTAGATTCAGGGAAGAAAGGGTGTTTACCTGTAGTTGCAATGTCTTATCCTCCAAACAATCAAAGATACAACAATTCGTGGAAAAATACAGCAAAGACAGATAGATAGCAAAACGACTCACGCGTTCTGACAAGGGCTTTCGCTTTCAGTTATGTCATTTTGTCAAACACAATTTTGGGCCAGCTAGCAGGGAGACCACAATATGGTGTTGTATAATCTGTTCCAATTTGTGGTCTCAGTAAGCTGTCTTAGTTTCCACACGGAGAACACTCCCTTCATCAACTAAATAACTCTGACTTTTCTTCCACGCGGAGTCATTACCATAATGTAGTGTCAACTCTATAACCACTGAATAGGCCTTTGATCTCCGTACAACAATGTGCAAATCACATGAACAGAAACTGCAGATACGAAATAGTGTTAGTAGCTCCAGAAATTCAGACCATGGCAGCCTCCCCAATCTCTAGCGGTGAGTCGTTCATGTTCCCCACCAGTGCCGTGGAGTCATCGACATCTGCCTCTGGCTCCAGCAATGTCGGCTCTGAAGAAATTGATCCCAACACCTGCAAAAACATCACCGAAATGATCATCAACATCAGAGGAGGTCACCACATGGCTGCAGCGTCACAGTGGCACATGGCGCAGAGAGAGATTGATGCGATGGTGAAGGAGATCCACAGCAAGGCAGGAAGGCAGCATGCACTCGTATGGTCATACAAGCTTCGACTTCTCGCCTTTGCAGATGAGATCACCAAGCTACAATTGTCCCCTGACAAGCTCTTCGTGGTGCTGAGGCTGCTCAAGGTACTCAACCCAGACTTCTTCCTTGTATCGCAATGTCGTCCAGAAGAGTTCAGCGTGGCAAAGTATGATGACACGCTGCAGAAGCTAAGGATGGCCGTGTACCACATGCTTCGTGAGCTTAAAATTTTGATCCAAACCCGTGCTTCTAGGCGTGTACCACCAGGTGGGGGAATCCATGAAGTGACTCGCTATGTCATGAATTACATCAGGTTGTTGTTGCATCATAAGACCACACTTGGTCTCATCCTCGGAAACGATGATCGCAACAAGGACAATGAGCGGATGGACTCCCTGGATCATATTGTGCAAGATCTGATTATCTGCTTGGAATCCATGCTCAACAAGGCACCTGAGGCCTATGAATCTCAAGGTTTACAATGCTTCTTTCTTATGAACAACCTGCATTTTGTTGTCAAGCAAGTGGAGGGTTCAGAGCTGATCTCACTCCTAGGGCAGTCATGGGTTCAAGTGCACAGAGAATTCATCGAGCAGTATTTGAAGACTTATGTGGACTTGTCATGGGGGCCTGCAATATCATGCCTCAGTGCCAGGACAGGCATGCTTGGTGGCTGCTTCAGTCAGCCTTCCAGTACCGTAAGGTTTAGCCTCCAGTTCGATTCAACTTATTATAACCAAGAGTGCTGGAAGGTGGAAGATCCTCAGCTTCGGGAGAAAGTGCGGCGAGCTGTCTGTGACAAGGTAATCTTGGCTTACCAAGCACACCTTGACAAGTATATGAAGGCTAAGAGAAAGCATGAGTGGTATACCCCTGAGCTGCTGAAGGCACAATTGATGAAGCTATTTGAAGGAAGAACAGAATAGCATCAGTTACATGGTACGCCAATTGTATGTTTCCAGGTCCTGTGGGATGTTTGGGTCTTGGGGACACTGTTGTTCTCCGCCTATTTTCCTTTTTTCTCTAAGATTTATTTTGCATGTAATCAACGATGCAGTATATAACAGTTCTAGATGAAAGATAATAATTTCATTCTACTTGTGAACATTATCAGATAAAACCTGAGAAATAGAACCTGAAAGATAAACAAATATATCTTCACAAGTTGCATCTGTGCCCTGCATATACAAATCTAAGTTAGTTCAAAATCCAAAGAATTTTTCGACTCGGTGCTTGAACATTCGTTGTCTTCCATTTGCTGCCAGTATATTCAGCAATTGACTAAGAAATCAAATGGCACTCCCTAAGCATTGAGCATCTTATGCTGTATGACCATAACTGATCTAATCACATAATCGTTTTTCATCAACTATTGATGCCAATAACACAATTGTGCTTCACCCCTTGTGACTATCCATATGAAATGTTGGATAATGCTCAGGCATGTGGTCTATCATCTGTCATCTCAAATCTAATTCACGGATAATTTCTCGTCGCTGTAAAATCTTAAGCCACAGATGCACAGAAAATTCAGTACGAAAAATATCGTGCTTCTCAACTCGAATTTTCCCTTGTTAAAACCACAAAATGTTACCTCAGCAGCCAGGATTGCAGTCTGGTACTCTGCTGCCGCCCGGGATACCGCCAGATGGTGGTCGCGACCGGCGGCGTTCTTGCCACGGAGAGCCCAACGCCTTCGCCTAGGGCAGCAGCCGCGCCGTACTTTCTTCGAATCCCCATCCTTCAATTCCTCCTCCCCCTTCACCAGCTGATGTGCTGCCGCCGCCGCCGCCGGGTAAACTTCGGTGCATCATCTCCGCTACCTTGTCCCGGCCCGCCGCCGTGGGTTGGCCGGAGCTCCGCCGCCGACGAGTCGTCTCGGGTGGGGGAGCGGCGGAAGGAGAGAAGGGGAGAGATATATGAAATGCGAATAGTGGGAGGGGCTATTGGACAAATGAATCCGCCATCTTAATCCTGGACGCACGCGCAGCCTGATCCAACGGCTATTGGTACGCCACGAAATTGACGGGCTCAACAAGTGGTGTTGAGCCCGGGACGGGATTAGCGTTGACGCGTCACGTGTTGGGCTGCAATGCGTCGGCTTGGTACGGTAGTCCAGAGACCAGAGGCCCATATGGAAAATGTCGTTTCTTCCGGGGATAAGTCTATTTTCCGTCACTCATCTCTTGCTTACGATTGAATTACCACCCTCAACGATAAAATCGGGCATAACGTCTCCCCAATCTTTTAAAATCGGTGCAAATCGACTTCTTCGATGTTTTGAAAATGATTTCTGCTGACATGGCATGTTGATTGTGGTTGACTCGCAAAGTCAGAATGTAAGACTCACATATATAACCACTCAAAGAAAAAAAAAGGACTCATGTGTCATCCTCTCTCTACTTTCTTCCCCATCCCCTTTCTCTCTACTCTTTTTTTTCTCCATCTCTATTAATTACAAGGCGACGGAAAGAGAGCCAAACGGAGAGAAGGCTCGACTTCACCGTCAACCGTGGTTTTAATAGCTGAGAGAGTCATTATACTCAGTTTTGTGATTGAGATATATAAATCAGATTTAACTTATATTTCGGGAGAGTTAGATTGGATTTTTTTTTCCTTTTCTCTGCAGCAATTTGGAGGCCCATTTAGGTAAGCGTACAGATTCTCTGCCGAAACTGAATTCGAGCGCGACAGCACTACATCAGTGGGGCGAAACAGAAATTGGCAGGTTTTTCTGCGCACAGATGTACAGTTTTCTTAGAGATTTCGCTGTTCCGAACTTGCATCAACAAGCAAGATGGTGATTAGTAGCATGGACGCAAGAAATCAACCGAAACAGTAGCACAAGATACGGGGGGCAGGGTACGAAAGAAATTAAGAAGCTATCAAGGCAGAAATGAGCGGGATAGGCCAGATAGTACAGACAGCCACTGCCCCCCGTCTGAACGCTAGCTGCAGCTCTCTCGTCACTCTCATCAGAGGGCCTTTGCCTGCAGCAGCATCGGCAGCAAATGAAAGCAATCTCATATAGGAGTACTAATCCGTCACAGAAAAAAACTAATCTTAATTTCTAGCTATAAATCTAGACACGTATATATTCAGATTCGTAACTATGATTAGTTTTTTTTATTGACATGGAGTGGGTATATGGTTACAGCAGCAGCGATAGTAGTAGCATACGGAATGAAAGGCAGAATGGAAGGAGAGGCCGGCCGGTGGCGTACGACAAAACCGGTGAAATCGGTGGAGCGAGCGAGTCACGGGGACCTGTGATGCGCGGCTGTCTGTTCCCGCATCGGCCGGCAAGTTCCGTTCTGCCACGGCGCTTTGCAGCACTAACGTACCCATCCATGCCCAGCCACATAGATCGAACACATACTCCCTCCATCCTTAAAAAAAAAAAAAAAAAGACAAACTCTGGTTTCCGTGTCTAACATTTGAATGTCCGTCTTATTTAAAAAAATTATGAAAAAAATTAAAAGGATAAGTCACGCATAAAGTATTAATCTTGTTTTATCATCTAACAACAATGAAAATACTAATTACAAAAAAAAAATTCATATAAGGCTGTGTTTAGATCCAAAATTTGGATCCAAACTTCAGTCATTTTCCATCACATCAACTTGTCATATACACACAACTTTTCAGTCACATCATCTCCAATTTCAACCAAAATCTAAACTTTAAATCCAACTAAACACAGCGTAAGACGGACAGTCAAACATTGGCATGGAAACCCAGGGTTTGCCTTTTTTTAGAACGGAGGGAGTAGGTCGGACTAGCAGCTAGCTGTACAACGACTCCTACTTCTAGTGATAGTACTGGTGTGTTTAGTTCACGTCAAAATTAAAAGTTTGATTGAAATTGGAAAGATGTGATGGAAAAGTTGAAAGTTTGTGTGTGTAGAAAAGTTTTGATGTGATGGAAAAGTTGGAAGTTTGAAGAAAAAAGTTGAGAACTAAGACCCTGTTTAGATGGGACTAAAACTTTTTTTTAGAACAAGGACTAAAACTTTTAAGTCCCATTTACATCGAATGTTTGGATACTAATTATAAATATTAAATGTAGACTATTAATAAAACCCATCCATAATCTTGGACTAATTCGCGAGACGAATCTATTGAGCCTAATTAATCTATGATTAGCCTATGTGATGCTACAGTAAACATTCTCTAATTATAGATTAATTAGGCTTAAAAAATTTGTCTCGCAAATTAGCTTTCATTTATGTAATTAGTTTTGTAAATAGTTTATATTTAATACTTTAAATTAGTGTATAAATACAGGGACTAAAGTTAAGTCCCTGGATCCAAACACCACCTAAACCAAGCCTTAGGGCCTAGGGGGTGTTCAGATCCAGCGGTGCAAAGTTTTGTTGTGTCACATCGAATATTATATATGAAATTTACTCCCTCCATCCCATATTATTTATTGTTCTAGGTTATTTAGCATATATTTAGGTTTAGGAAAAAAAGATTTTACTACCCATATATTAAATATTGTATGGTTGGATATAGGAGGGTGGTTGAGGGTAGAAAAGGGATAAATTTGAATTATAAGTGATTGATGAGACAAGTGATATTCTATCGTGATAAATATTTTGAGACAAAATTTAAATTTTAAAGAGACAAGTAATTTGAGACGGAGGGAGTAACTTTTTTTAAGTTCTGTGAGTGTCGTAGTGAAGTTACTACCTTTGCTTTAAAATGCTGCTACTTAGCATGAAATTTAACTCATTCTAAAATGCAATAATATGAGATGAAGGTGATAACCACTAAGTAAATTAAAATATAAATATATAAAATTTTCAACTGATGGAGAATTGTTCCCGTAGAAAAATAGTACGACAGTCGCCAGACTACTTCACTACTCTCACCGTCCCTTAAAAAAAACAACATAGTATTAAGATTTGATATATTATAGTACAACGAATGAGGATATACTCTATGTACGGATTTGTTGTATTAGGTTATCCTACCTTAGTAAGATTGTTTTTTTTATGGAGGGAGTAGCTAGCTGTACTTGGAGGAGTGTCAACAACGGCCTGTCATGTCGACTAAAGCCTTGGGCTATCACGTCACCCGAGATTCCAAAGAGGATTAGGAAAACCTCAAGCATGCGGTGGCGTTGCGTCCATGGTGCGTCACGTCTCGATCTCTGGGTTTTATGCTGTTCGATCGATCGATCCGCCCGTACGTGCTGGCTTTGCCCGTCTCGCGCCGTCGTGCCCCGCGCGCGGTTTCGTTTGACCGGACAAAATTCGGATCCCCAACTTGGGTTGTTCTTTCTGTAGCAGCAACAACAACAACACGCGGCCGCATATGATTTTCGCATGCCAATCATGGAACAACAGACACTTGTAGGGGCTGTGTTGTTGCTCTGTTTTCGCCGAGAAACCCATGGCAACAGATCCAACCACATCATGGAGGGTTTTTAGTTTTTTACAGAGTTTACTGTGTGTCTGTGGTGTCGCCATTATCGAATTTCGAATCCGTGCATGTGTAAGTGAAAATGATATTTGTCGGCAGCTGTTTTACCTCTGCAGTTGTCTGTGGGTGGTAACTGTTGATTGGTACGAGCAGGAAGGGAGGCTGAGGCTGCAGCTGCCTGATTGGATGGGAGCAAAGCGAGCGATCAGGCACCAGCTGCATGCATTCTCGCTGAGGGCGCGCACATGGAGGTTAGTACGTTGCAAGATTATACTCCGTTTCATCCTTTGCCTACCTGTATCTTTCTCTTCTCCGGTTAATAATGCTTTGCTTTGCTTCTTATCGCCGCCCATGGCCGATTAGTCACGCTAACAAAGCTGCAATCTCTCGGCTATGGCTAATTGCATTTGCTATGCATGCATGGGGCGATGTCATGTGTCCAAGCAAATTAAAACTGATTTGCCGGGCAAGGGGGGTGCTTGCGTTCGCCGAGGAAATGACTGTTACTGCTGGCGCCATGCATGCGAGGTCGGCCCACATGTTGAAGGCAAACGCGTTTCCCGATGCCAGAATCTGTATCATCCACTCTTTTTCTTGACGCCAAATCTTTATCAGCTCTACTCCTACCGCACTATACAGCGATGATATACTAATCAGTCCACCCTTGCGAACAACTAAACACGGAAAAGAGAAGCGACATACATGTTCTGATTAACCAATTTTGCAACATATTCGTTTCGAATTAAAGCACCTTCCTGTAGCGGCGATGTTCCGCTAAAGCACAGGTATATATTCTTTAGCAACATTGACTAATCCGTCGAACTCCAAACTTTCAGCAGCAGTACGCGCTCTCATCGCAGGCAGCTCTCCTCTCTACCATAACAGTCAGTTAACTGCTGCGCGCCACTGTTTTTTCACCGCCCCGCACGCAACACACACACACACACAAAACGCAGGAGCAGCAGCGAGTGGTGACAGCATGCAGTAGTACCACCACATTTGGTGTGTTCCCAGTGGGGGCCTCTGGCCCTTAGCTGTAGATGTAGCTGCTCCTCCTCCTCCTCCTCTTCACCACCCGCATCCAACCGAGCAAACGCCCGGCGATATACAGTAGTACGTGTGGTGGATTCCCCGTTGCCGTTGCCGTTGCCGATCGATCGACATGGCATGTGCTGCTCTGCTGCCCATGCCCTGCAGCCACCACCACCACCACCACCACCTCTGCAACCAACCACCAACAAGTGTAGTACTACTACCGCGCGTTGCCGATGCAGCCGGCTAGCTCGGGATGGGCGCCTGGGTCACTCGCTCGATCGATCACTGGATGGATGGAAAGCCCCAAATCTCAAGGCACATGAGACGTCAAAGCTGATAGGAGCGTCTCATCGGGTTGATTCCCCCTTCCATCCTCCCTCTGCTGCCCCCCCCCCCCCCCCCCCTGCATCGCCTGTACTTTTTGTCCAAACTACAAAGAAAAGAGAGAGGGGGAAAAAAGAAAAAGGGGATAATAAAAAGCAAAAGTTCGAACGAAAAACGAATGCGTCGTGAGCATTGCACAGCACGGCAACCTCGAAGCCGCGAAAAAAGAAAAATCAACTCGCCATCCAGGCGCCGGGGTCAGCCGCTGCCGGCCCACTTGCATCAAACGTCTGCACTGCACTGCACGCATCAGATTAGATTAGATTAGTACGAGTAGCTTCAGATTAGATACCCCCGGTTAGATGCTGCACGTACGCTTTCTATCCCTAACCAAATCGATCGGCAATCGCTCATCTTCCCTCTCTCACTTCAACTAGTAACCCCGGACTTGTTAAATTAACTTGAAGCATGCATGCATGCTCTGATCGTTTGTTTATACTATCTACTACTAGAGTACTAGAGCACATACAACAGCAGACTATAAGTCAGCTATAAACATATTTTAAAGAGATAAATGAGCTACAGATCTGTAGCCAGCTGCAGCACGGACTTTAAGACATAACGTGTGTCTGATAGGTGGGACCAGGTATTAATAGTATAGTAAGTAACTATTGTATGAATTAGATATTATATTGACTTTAGATAATTTGCAGCTAGTACTTGGCTATACTATTAAACTTGCTCTAATTATTATTACTATCTGCAGTGAATAGTGATATAGTGTGTGATACTGTGTCCACCAGTACTATATTAGTGCGTAAAGACCGGGGCCGTGGGTGCGCAGGGTGACCACTATTGCTAGCTGCTTCAACATATTTATTTATTTTTACTGGAATGAAGTAATACTGGTAGTACTTTGTTAGTTGGACAGCTTAGAGAGAGAGATTTTAGGTTTAGATGGGCTCACTGGACCGATGATCCTTAAACACCGCCACTGTACATGCTCCTTTCACTTTTTCCCACCGCAGGGATGTACTGTGCCACCACTAACTACTGCCATTATTTACAGCTTAATCCGCTCCTCTGGTCCCAAAATCATAACACTTCTAGGCCCTTTAAATCATAGAGTTGAAAAAACAGAGGAATAGAAAAAACATAGGATTCTGATAGGAATACAAGTGTAAAATAGAGGATTACAAGACACAGAAATAACCGTTTGATTAGACCGCAGAAAAAATACAGCAATCAGATGAGAGAGATAAACTCAAGGAAAGTTTTCCAAGAGTTTAGAGTGGATATTAACTTTCCTACGTTTTTGCTCTTGAATCGTAGGAATAGGAAAGTTTCCTACATTTTTCCTTTTCTTATTCCTACAAATCAAAGACATAAATAGTGTAGGATTTTAATTCCTTTGTTTTTCTTCTGTTATTCCTTCAATTCAAAGGGGGCCTTAGGCTGTGTTTAGATCCAAAGTTTGGATCTAAACTTCAGTCCTTTTCTATCACATCAAACTGTCATACACACAACTTTTCAGTCACATCATCTCCAATGTCAATAAAAATCTAAACTTTAAGCTGAACTAAACATAGCCTTATTTTATTAGCTGGATCGAAGATGGATATGCAGGGAGGGAGGCATGGGCAACAGTGGGAAGCGTACAAAAGTTTGATGGATGATACGTACATGCTCGGCTAGCTCTACAGTGTCCACAGCTTGCGACTGGCGAGCGATCGATCAATCAATGGATCGGTGTGGCTAGCTCGGCGCGCTCAAGCTCAAGTACTATTGGGCATTTGCTTGTTGCGTAGCCACTGGGCGCATCTTGCACGATGTATGGATCGGTGGATCTGCTTGTGCGATGGGACAAACGCTGCAGGAGGGCAGTGTGGCCTCTGCTTACCCCCTCCCTCTCCTAGCTGACTTTTCCCAGCCTTTTTGCGCACCCATCATTCTCCATCTCATGTCATGCCATCTCGTACGCTCCATCTCGTACGCTCCCTCGTCCCAAAATAAATGTAGTTTTACACTATTTATATCTAATGTTTAATCATTTATCTTATTTTAAAAAATTTGTATGATTATTATTTTTATTGTTATTAGATGATAAAACATGAATAGTACTTTATGGATGACTTTTTAGTTTTTTCATAAATTTACGTTAGACACGGATACTCACGACTGTACTTATTTTGGGTCGTAGGTAGTACTCCACTACACTCGCCAACAACCAAACCCCATGAGCTAACGTTTCACCTCACAGATTCACATGCCAGTGAGCAACAGCTCTGAGCTGAGCTCAAAACGGTTTCAATCTCCATCGGTGCGTGTATGGACGTTACGCTGTTAAGGAACACCGTTTTAATTACGCGGGTAAATGCACTTGAGCTTAGCGGTTGCATTTTTGCATGTAGTAGAAGGAGCAGTAGATTAGTAGAAGTACAATGGAGAAGAAGAAAGAAAAGCTAAAAGCTACTCTTGCTGAATCGAAGTGAAAGGGGAGGAGGAGGAGATGTGAATTGAATGAGCCAGCAGCTATGGAGTAAGCTATAGCTCGAATGCTATGTACAAAAATAAACGTGGACGAATCGCAATCAGTACACCTTCTTGGAGAAGAAGGTCCGGAGGCCGAACAGCCCCTGCGGCGGGTTGCTTTCCTCGCCGCCGGCTTCCGAGCACGACGCGTTGTTCCGGCAACCGGCGGTTGCCGCCGCCGCCGCTGGCGTGGTCGCGCTCGCCGCGGCCTTGTCCTCGCCGTCGACGTCTTGGGTGGTGGGGGTTGCTGCTGTGGTTGTGGTGGCAGTGGCCTTCTTCTTGGTGGCGGCGGTGGTGGGGGTGGGGGTGTCGCTGCTCTGCTTCTGCTCGGCCGCGGCGCCTTGCTGCTGCAGCTTGTTGCGCCTGAGCTGCCAGACGGGGCTGGCGCGGCCGAGGCGGATGCCGGTGACGGTGAGGGCGCCTGTTCGTCCATGACCGGGCACCAGCCTCCTCAGCATGGAGGTGGCGGGTGCTGGCGCCGGGGCGGTTGCTGCGGCGGCGGCGGCTGCACATGCGGCGGTGGCAATAGACGGCGGCGGCGCGGCGGCGGAGGTCTCTCCGCGGGAGTTGCTCCGGGAGCACGGCGCGCTGCTCACCTTGCGCGCGGGCGCGGGCCCTGGCGCCGTCGCGGCGGCCGGTGCGGTGGCTGCGGCTGCGGCTGCGGCGGCGGCGTTATTGCTGGCGTTGGCGTTGACATTGGCATTGGGATTTGACTTGTTGCGGCTCAAGGCCGCTCCCGCCGCCGCGGTGCCGGCGCCGGCGGCGGAGTGGCCGGCCGAGCGGCTCCGGGAGAAGGGCCATATGTTGATGTTGATGAGCTCGCCGTTGCCGCCGACGCTGCTGACGCGGCGCTCCACCTTCTTCCGGTCCTTGGACTCCCCGCCGCCGGTCGCCTTGAAGATGTCCTTCCACTTGAACGTCACCGCCGGGAGGTCCGGCGTCGGCGCGGGGCCCCCGGACTCCGCGACCCGCTGCGCCGCCGCCTCCGGCAAATCAGAGGACTCCACGGCGGCGGCATCGCCCTCGCCCTCGCCCTCCTCACCTTCGCCGTCGCCTTCACCGGAGGGCACCTGCTGGAGGGTGCGGAGCGGGAGCACAATGCCGTCGGAGAAGAGCTCGTCGGCGGTGAGCAGAGCGGGGGACTGGAACGAGGAGGGGTTCTTCCCCACCATCCAGAACTCGAACTCCGGCGACGCGGCCGGGGACGGCGAGGACCACCCGGGCTCGCCGCCCACCACCGCCGCCGCCGCCCCGCATTCCGGCTGCGGAGGAGGCGGCGCAGCCACCACCACCGCCGCCTCGTCGAACACTTCCATCTCAAAAGAACGCAAGCAAATCTACTCAGAGACAGCGCAGTGAGGACCGAGCAGGAGCAGGAGCAGGTAGCTCTGACGAACTCAGCACGACGACGCCATGGACGCCATGGGAATGGAGAGGAGGGGGGAGAGGAAAGGGAGGCGTAGGAAGTGAGTTGAGGCGTATTTAATGAAGGAGAAAGGGATGCATATGCGCTCTGAAATCTTTGTCTGGGTGATGCCGCCCGAGATGGCCGAGATCGAGATGCGCTTCTTTATTCCGGGACGTAAGCTTTGCTTCTCCATAGTCCATACAATGCCACCCGCCACGTTTTACCGCGAATCAAAACGTACCATCTACCTATCTATCTCCCCGCGCGCGCATCGAGCACCCACATACAGTAAATTAGTACCATCAGTATGTTATTAGTAGTAGTAAATCTTGTGTTTTCACGTCACTTGAAAAGTTTTTAGGTAGTGTTTAGTTACAAGAATAGGATGAGGTGAGATGGAACGAATCTAATTTTAGAGGTGTTTGGATAAGGGGTGAGTGGAATAGGTTGGTCCTTGGATAGAAATATTCCTCTCAGATCCAGGACCAACCGATCCGGAAAAATGTGGCGGATGATCTCGTCCCAACTGGGACGAGCGAACGGCGTGACGACGCCTTGCTCGCGCGCTCGCCCTGCTCGAGCTCGAGAGCACCTACGCGCTCGCCCTGCTCGCCCTCGGGAGCAGCGGCAGACAGCTCGGGCGACGGCGACCACGGCGGGCTCGGCGGCGGCGGGGCTTGGCGGCGGCGACCGTGGCGGCGGGGCTTGGTGACGGCAGATCCAGTGGTGGGGAGGGCGGGGCGGAGGATCCGACGATGGGGAGGACTGCGGTGGCGGATTCGGCGATGGGGAGGAGCAGCGGCGGCGTGCGAGGAGGAGGTCGAGGGGCGGCGGCGGATTCGGCGATTGGGAGGAGCGGCGGCGGCGGCGTGCGAGGAGGAGCGGTGGCGGCGTGCGATGAGGAGGTTGAGGGGCGGCGGCGGATTCGGCGATGGGAAGGAGTGGTGGCAGCGTGCGAGGTGGAGATCGAGGGGCGGCGGCGGATCCGGTGATGGGGAGGTGAGCAAGCCATGGTTCTCTTCCTCTTGCTCTTGCTCGCCGCCGGCTCTTCCTCTTGCTCTTCCTCCGGCGATGGGGAGGACTGTGGTGGCAGATCCAGCGATCGTTGACGGTGGTTACAAATGGCGTCCATCCCATCTCTCCCTCGTCCCTCCAACAAAACAAAAAATTGGGATCGTCCCATCCTACAAATCAAACATGTGAGTGGAATCACCACAACCCAAAAATCAGGGATGGTTCCATCCTATCCCACTTAGTCCTGAAACCAAACACTACCTTAATAGATGAAACACATTCTATTACTACAAATTTAAATATCTTCTTTTTTTTCAAATTTGTAGTAATAAGATATGTGTCATTCATATAAAATCTCTTATATGTTAGGATGGATGTAGTAGTACAAATGCATAGTATTACTAGGAGGCGTGGGGATGGTGTTAAATACTCTTTCTGTTTTATAATATATGATATCATTGGCCTTTTGAGATACATTTGATCATTTGTCTTATTGAAAAAATTTAAGTAATTATCATTAGTTTTATTATGACATGATCTATCATCAAATGTTCTTTAAGTATAACTTATTATATATATATATATATATATATATATATATATATATATATATATATATATATATATATATATATATATATATATTTGTTTAGATAAAACAAATGGTCAAACGTTTATATAAAGTTGACGGCGTTATATATTAAAGTGCTAGGCGACGTAACCATCGACAGCGAGGCGTCTGTGGTGACTTTGTCAATCTTAAAGATTGGCTGGCTCAGTATTCAAAGATGCTCATAGAGGTAGGGTTTGCGTGCGTGTGTTTACAGGGGTGAGTGTGTGCATTATAAGGTAAAATCTAAACCGAGAAGCCTCTCGGTTTAGTGTTAACCAACGACGAATCAATTGTGAGAAGAATTAATGCTACACGTGCTGATGTGCGTGCTATTTTTCCTATTAGACATGTGTGTCTTTTTCTTCTTCTTATAAAGTTTTCTCTCAAATTACTTATCAGATTTACAATCCAATTACATCATTGTGTTCGTTACAATTAAATCTTCACAACAAGATCTTACATGATTATATTACGATGAAAAAATATTTATATTTGTAAATTACTTTTATTATATACTAAGTTACTTTTATAATATATATAAGTTACTTTTAGATTTGACTAAATTACTTCTATACATTCATAATGCTCTAAGTTGATTATTTTTATTATTGTTTTTAGTTAATTCTATATTTTGTGGACTTTATAAATCTTCTCTATACTTTACTTGCGAATTTACTCTACATAGTTTCTTATTTCAGCTCACTCACAATATAGTTATTTCTACTATAGAGAGTTAATCACCCCGTTTCATAATGTAAGTCATTTTAGTATTGCCCACATTTATATAGATGTTAATGAATTTAGATATAGTTCTAAATTAAAGTTACTTTCTTTTTGTTATAAGTTACTTCTATAAAATATTTAAATTACTTTTAAGCTTTACTTAATTTACTTTTATATGTATAAGAAGTAACTTAGTGAAATCTAGAAGTAATTTAGACATATCATAAAAATAATTTGTGATTTTTCATCAAAATATAATCATGTGAGATCTTATTGTAAAGATTTAATTGTTACGAACACAACGGTGTAATCGGATTTTAAATCGGATGAGTAATTTAAGAGAAACTTCTCTAAGAAGAAAAAAATACATAGATTTTGAGTGTACTAGTAGTTTTTTCTTGGAAAGAATGATGTTTCTCTTAAGCACTATACAGCTAGTACTCTCGGTATAGTTGTGTCCGCATTATAGGTATCTGCGTTGTATAGTGTAATTCTAAAAGAAAATAGAGATAGTAGTATGAAAAGAATCAAGGAATATATCATATAATATACAGGTTATATTATTTAGGTCTAAAACAATCTAAAATGTTGGTTAATATGATAGAATATTATGATCATTCTATACTACACAAATACAATGCGATCGATACTGTCCACAATACAATCATATCCATTTACAGATTTACTTTTACTTTAATGGAGTTGAGTGGGAGCCAGCGCACGTACTAGTGTACTACCCGATCGATGGACACACCTTCCAGGCAACACACACAAGCCGTGGGTGGCTAACGGCATTACACGACGGGTATATACGTACACCCGATCGCTGGAGGGAGGGCATACAGGATAGGTTACCCCGTTTAGCTGGCAAATAATGTAGTACGTACCTGACCGATGGATGATCAGTTTAGCTGATTCTCTCCGCTGCTTACTGCCAAGACGCAATGCATATATGCGTATTTTTAAGTGGGGTTGGTTACGTTACGCTTGTCGATCTCTTATTAGGAGTACTGTTAATCAGTTTAGGACCAGCTAATTAAGCTGCTGCTGCGGTTAGAGCAGGTAAAATAGTAGGCTATAAGCCAATTATAAACATATTTTAAAGATATAAAAGAAGAAAGAAAAGAGCAGCTAGCCAGCTGCAGCACGGACTTTAAGACGTAATGTGTGTATGACAGGTGAGACCAAGTATTAATAGTATAGGAAGCAACTATTGTATGAATTGACTATTACATTAGTTATAGATGATTTAAAGTTAGTAGTAGGCTATACTATTAAACTTGCTCTTAGCCAGGTAGGTGGAATTTTTGTATTAATTCTGCCCGAACGAGATGGCAACCGGTTGCAAGCCAGCGAGCGGCGGCGGCGTTGTTCGATAGGTGAACGAATAACTTGCGTGCGTGCGACGGTGACAGCAGTAGCCGGTGCGTCGGGCGATGCCTAGGCCAACGCCAACCCCAATCACCCGATTAATCATTCCGGATATTGCCCATTGGATTTTGAGCTCCAACTCCATCGCCCATTTGCCGTACTACTCCATGCGCGGCACCGCGACGACACTCGGCGGCCGGCGTCGCATGACGCGTGGGCTGGTTCTCATCACTCTCACACAATGAGACTCAGGATTATAACAAGGAGTCTCGTTGAACAATGAACTTGTTACGGAGCAATTATATCTTAGTAAATAGTACTTCCTCCGTAGCTACCGTTACTACTTAGGTTGGGATGTGACGTAGCTCTGTTCAGATTTATATTCATTGTTCTATAGTAGATCACATATCTCATTCTATATACCCCCTTCGTCCTAAAATATAATAAATTTTAGCCATCAGGAGTTGTCCCAAAATATAACAACCTCTCCATCAATATTGTCTTCCCAAGCAATTACAACCCTCCACCATTCACTATTTTTATTTACCTCTACTACTCATCCAATGATAAATCTTTCACCGTTCACTTTTATTTACTTTCTTAATAAATATATCCAACTTTAAAACTTCTTATATTGCAGGACGGAGGGAGTAGTTAGTAGTAGGACTTCTAGTACTCCATCCATCCCACAATATAAGGGATTTTAAGTTTTTATTTGCAACGTTCGATCACTCGTCTTATTCATTTTTTTTGCAAATATAAAAAATGAAAAGTTATGTTTAAAGTACTGTGGATAATAAAGTAAATCACAAATAAAATAAATAATAATTTCAAAAAAATTGAGTAAGACGAGTGGTCAAACGTTGCAAGCAAAACTCAAAATCTCTTATATCATGCGACGGAGGAAGTATATTTTTGGACAGAGATAGTAGTGCACATTATACTCACACGTCTGTTGTTTGTCATGTCAGGGGTGATCACATGCCGGCGGCGAAGCTTTAGGCAGGGCAGCCGTACGGCCAGGCTGCTGCGTCTGCCATCTTCTTCATCACGGCCAGTTCGTCTCCATGTTTGGCGAATGGCATGCATGCGGCGCGAGCAGGTAGCGCAGCGCAGAGACGCGGCAGCATCGGGCACCTCGCCGTTGTTGGGCAGGCAGGCGGCGGCAGAGCAGCGAGCCGTCGCTTTCCGGCGCCACCCACGGCCCCGGCCCACAAGTCGCCCTGCCAGCCTTTGCGGCCCCCGCGTGTACAGGCCACACCCCCTTTTACCGGCCCATATACCTGGGCCGTGTGGGTGGGCCTCTTTTAGTGCTGTTACAATCTTGGGCCGTGTGGTTGGGCTCACATTTGTACGCCCCAGCAGGCCGTGTGTTTTGGCGCGATCCAGCCTTTTGTGCCTTCTGCTCCAGACTGGGCTCTGGTTGCGAGGGCCTTCTCTGCCAAACTGGGCTTCATCTTGACAAAGGCCCAAGCAGAACTTCAAATGGTGATAAATT